TGATAATATTCTTATATTAAAAAATTTCACACACACACATATATATGTATATATATGTATGTATATGTATATATATAGAAAGAGAGAAGAGAGGAGAGAGAGAGAGAGAAGGAGAAGAACAAAAGAAAAAGAGGATGGATGCAAAGATATGCAGTGAGCAGCAGAGAGGGTGTTGGCTTCCATGGCTGATCATAATTTCTGTATTTGCTATCTCCATCTTTCCTACAGATTCTACTTCAATTAGAAGCCAAAAACAAGAGAGCAATCTGCAGAAAATTGAAGCAGGTTTAGCTCATGCTCGAGCTGCAATCAAGAAAGCTACAAATCAGTCGAGTGAAGATCCAGATTATGTCCCATCTGGATCAGCTTATTGGAACCCTAATTCCTTCCACAGGTATGTTTTGCTTCCATAATAATTTTTGAATTTGTGTCGTGATAGAAACGCTGTTAGGTTGCTTCAACCCACCGCCACCCAATATAATATTCCTCACAACATCCTCTTTTTATTTAAATTAATATATATATATATATATATATATTATAATTTAAATTAATATATATATATTATAATTTAAATTAATATATATATATATATATATATATTATAATTTAAATTAATATATATATATATATATATATATATATATATTACAGGAAATGTATAAATTTGTTTTTGCTATTTTTGTCTCTATGCAGGAGTTATTTGGAAATGGAAAAACGCTTCAAGATTTACGTCTACGAAGAAGGAGATCCTCCAATATTTCACACTGCACCTTGCTATGGAATCCTGGGATTAGAGGGGATTTTCATCAACGACATGGAAATCAGTCGATTTCGTACCAAAGATCCCCAAAAAGCTCATGTTTATTTCCTTCCCTTTAGCATCATTACACTTATCAACTATGTTTACATAGTAGGATCCCATGATTGGAGTCCTATGTACGATACGGTCCGTGACTATATCACTGTCATCAACCACAAATATCCTCACTGGAACCGAAGCCAAGGAGCCGATCACTTCATGCTCGCATGCCACGACTGGGTACACCTTGTATCATGTATTCATTAGTTCTATCACAAACTATAACCAAAGCCCTTTGCTCCTGACCGATATGTGATGTTATTTTTTATAGGGGCCTAGCATATCGAAATCGGTTCCTTACCTGTTCAAAAACTCGATCCGTGCTTTATGCAATGCAAATACGTCCGAAGGGTTCAAACTCTCGAGAGATGTCTCAATCCCGGAAATCTACCTCCCACACGGCACAACCAACGGTTTACTTGGCGGTCCCTCCCCTTCGAAAAGAACGATCTTGGTCTTTTTCTCCGGTGGCGTCCATGGATACATCCGAGAGGTACTTCTCAAACATTGGGAAAATAAGACTGAAGACGGTGTTAAAATTCAGAAATACCTCCCAAAGGGAGACGATTACTATCAACAGGTAGTACTTTTTATTCTTGAGTCTCACTATAAGACTTGATTTTATATATAGTAACAAACTAACTTGAGTCTCGCTATATATAAGAATTGATTTTATAGGAACAAATAATTGTGTTGCAATAGTTTTATTTAAATTTTTGGACATTTTAATAAGTTTTTAGGACATGTTAAAAGAAAACGTCTTTTTAATTTTTTATATGATGATTATTTAAAAAAGTGTCACATTAAATTATGTGTTTAATAAACACTTATCAAAAGTGTCATATAAAAAGCTAATACAACACTTTATTTTAAAAGTGTTTTAAAAATTAAGTTGTTAAGATGACCATAAAAGTCTTATAAACTTATTGTAACATTTTTCCTATAAATTCAAATCCTATAAAGGAGTTTATTTGAACACTCAGACATTTTTGTCATCTTATAAAACCAATTTTGTTGTAGTGTCTGTTTTTTTTTTTACTTTGAAATTGATGTTGTTGTGAAAATATGTCGAATCTCATTAGATTATTCTACAAAAAATCACTTAAGCAAAGAAGGGAGATGCTAAGATATATTGAGCAAATAATATCAAAATCTAATCGATATGGAACTATAATAATTATTCACTGTGATACAAACAGGTTAGAAAGAGCAAGTATTGCATTTGTGCTAGCGGGTGGGAAGTTGCAAGCCCTCGAATGGTTGAAGCTCTTTATATGGGGTGCGTCCCCGTGCTTGTCAAGGACAATTATGCAAAACCTTTTAGCGACGTTTTGAATTGGGATACATTTTCGGTCGATATTCCAACAAGCCAGATCCCCCAATTGAAGGATATATTGATGGCGATACCGCAGAGGAAGTATTTAAGGTTGCAAAAGAATGGTGCTCAAGTTCGAAAGCATTTTGTGGTGAATTTGCCTCCGAAAAGATACGATGTTTTTCATATGATACTTCATTCGATTTGGCTTAGAAGGCTCGACACTCACATTCGAGATATCAACGACCAATCATAATGGTTTGGTTGGTCTTTTCGATATCACGATTGTGTATATTTGAGCTCCTTATGAATCACTCGTTGAGAGTTGGAAAAAAAAAATACACTAAATATAGTTATTGTTACATTCGTTATAAGATAAAATTATTCCGCTCAAAATTTTCTTCTGCATTTCAAGGCCAAAAGTAAATAATACATTGATGTTTTTAAAAAACTTGTTTGACAGATGTTGAATAAAGGTGCAAAATATTAACTTTTTCAATGTACAATGCTCTTTCTTTTCTGTCTCGAACAAGATCATCCTCCATCAGTTAAGCCTCCTCCATGGTTTCTTAAAGTGTCGACACCTTGACATTTTGCATCAAGATTTTCATCTCCGCCGATAGGCGCTTGAGGTAAGCTTTGATTTTTGGCTTCTCATTTGGGCCAAATGTCCAATTAGAATAAACACATTATTTTATTGAATACACAATTTCTTTTATGATAACTTTCATGTACTTTTTAAAAGGCTTTTCTTATTTATATAGTTATCTACATATATCTTGTATTTGCTTTTATAAATATTAAAAAAGTACTCGTGCAATACAACGAGACATATCTCGATTTTAATGTTCTATTTTATTATTTGTATTTATCGATGTTATAATACGATTTTATGTGGTTCTAAGAAATCAATAATGATCTTATTTTTGAACAAAATATAAATTTGAATATATCATAAAAATTTGAAAAAAGAATATCATTGTTAATATCAAATCAACTATCTAAAAGTTCTCATTTTTTATGTAATTTCTTTAATTTATTTTTTTTAATAATTCAATCTAAGTTTAATAACGGAATAATTTATTTTTGGTTTAATAATATAACATTTTATAAAGATAATAATTAAGTATTCTGTTAAAACTAAATGACTATATATATTAATTATATTTTAGATTTATTATATTTAAAATGAGATGTTTATCATGTATTTGATTAAGTTTATCTGCAGTTAGTTACACGAATTCAGATATGGAGCTTTAATAAGTTGTACTTACGCACAATCTACATGCAATCTTGAGTTTTAAGTAATATCCATTAATAAAAAGTGATTTTTAAGAGTTTTTGTCGAATGTTTATAATATAGTATAGATTATGTGTTTTTAAGAAAGCAATAATGATTTTATTTTTGAATAAAATATAAATTTGAAAAAAATATATCAATGTTAATATCAAATCAACTATTTAAAAGTTTTCATTTTTTATGTAATTTCTTTAATTTATTTTTTTATTATAATTATTT